GAGAATATTGAATATAAAATGATGATCACACAGGAAATGAACACGATGGCAATTATTCAAAAGGGGGTTAAGTTAAAGAAGAAAGAAAGTGCGTAGGAAATGAAGATTAATGAAAAAGACGATAACAAAGAAAGGAGAAAAAAGACACAATAATCTGAAATAAGAAAAGGTAAAAACAAAATTATCTGTAAAAGAAAAAAAAGGTGTTAAATAGATTTAATCTGCCTTCTTTGAAATAAAAGGTTTGCACTTTTTTCGACGAATGACATTATTGCTGCAACAAGGTCACATGATCGCAATGGAATATGACGCATATACCACAAAGGCGTTGCCATAGAAACAATCAGCAGCATAGTCTGCTGGCGAATAAACTGTAAAAATTCGAAGTTATCGTCAGGTAGCGTTTTCTCATGACATATTCTTAATTTGTACAATTTGTAATACACACACATACATACACACACACAGACATAGACACATATATACTCGAGGGGTGTTGAACGATGAGCCTGGTCAGTACTTAGATAAGTGACTACTTAGGAATACCAGGTACTAAAACTTTCGATGTTCAGGTGGTGTAATGGATAACGGCTCAGAATTGGAAATCGGAGGTCCGAGTTCCACTTCCAGTCAGGCTAGTTATATTCACTTACGTGCGAATACTCTTCGGAAAGGTATGTATATACCCCTTCTCCTTTCAGCTATGGGTTAATTAGTATCAACTTGTATCAGTAAATCATTATAATTAGTATTAACTTGAATCAGTAAATCATTATTATCTCCCCCAAATTCTTACTTTCGAAAATATTTTATGGCTATAAATTACCTGCAAAAGTTTGATAATCCGTAAAAGACAAATCAATCGATCCATCAATCGAGGGGTGTTGCAAATTTTCATCCCGGCCATTATGCCCATCCAAAATTTTTATTTTTAATACTTACATTTTGAGAAGTGGGTCGGGCCGAGTATTTTTCACTACACTACTTATAGGTATTAGTGGAGAGTTCAGATAACCTGAGCCAAAAAAAAAAAAAATGGCCAGTCCTCAGGACTACTGTCATGCTGGCGTCGATATTATACCGGCCCTCACCTCTCAGTGCAACGAGGGAAGTGCAGCTGCAGGGTTGGAATCCACAGGACCGAGCGCCTTCACCAATCTCAGATGAAGAGACAACATATACTACGCTTTCATCTCGGCCAAATAACTATATGTTCATGTAACTACTTTCTTTCTTTCTTTCTTTCTTTCTTTCTTTCTTTCTTTCTTTCTTTCATACCATTTTTCTATTCTATCTGTCGCAACAATAGGTATGTTTGAACTGACAATTGTACAAAAAACTATGTCATGAAAAAATTAATTTTAAGAATGCTCATATTCTTCAAGTCAAGGTAAATTATGGAGGATTCTAAGTGCTGTAATTTAAAGCCTAACAAACGAAAGTGAGTAAATGTTGATACAAATAAAAAAAAATCAGCAACAACAATAACAACATTTACCCACTTTGGTTTATTAAACATTAAATTACATCACTTAGAATCATCCATAGTTTATCTTGACTTTTTCACAGTTTGCCTGAAGAATATTTATGAGCGTTCTTAAATTTAAAAACTTTGAAAACCTAACGATATTTTTACTTTTGCTTATAAACACATGTTGCAAAATAAAATCCTACACACAAACGCGCGCGCGCGAAGTCCATCAGACGACGAAACAAAGAGTTGATCAAGAATAGTTATATATGAGATAACCATATATAAATTTGTATATATCAAGAAAGATATTCGGGAAAATACATGACAAAGTGGAAAAAAGTTTTTGTGACGCGTTTCCTCTTTTAGGACTTCACTGGACTAAATTTGTTATGTTGGTGCAATTACGCATGCGCACGAACGAGGAATGTTTGTAATTTTTTTCTCGTTGTCATACATTTTCCTTGCTCCAGAAAGCCAACCACAGCGACTCAGAAATGGCGAACATTTTGAAAGTGTTCTGGTGAGCAGAAAGGATGACATGTGACTCTTTGCGAACGTCGCTTAGGCATTCACGCTGAATTCACATCCTCTGTGATAGTTCTAGTTGTCGTGAAAAACACTAGTCATGTCATATTGCTTCACTTCTTTCTGCAGGGCCTCAGGATCAATGACACGGACTATCTCGAGGTGCGGGAAAAAAAACCTGGGCGAAGATTAATATTTGGATAATACTCAATGGCGGCACTCTCGAGGATTTTCCTTCTGAGTGAGTTATTTTCTTTTTTTTGAGTGTTTTTTTTTTTAATATTTTCCTCTATGTCACCTTTCCTAACAGAATTACTACTCTCCCAAGCAAACGTACACAACTGTATCAAGAAATAAAAAGAAAATGATTGAATCCGTCAACACAACAATAAAAAAAATATTTCCACACGTGACAGTTCTTGACGTAAATTTCAGTTAATAATATGAATACAATAGCGTTTTCTAAATTCTTCCAGACATTTTGTTTTGTTGTCAATAGTTACTTTGTTTTAATAATTTCATTTCGTTTTTGCCTTGAAAAAGTTCACATTGGACGGAACGCGTCGGCTAATATTACAGTTTTTCTATTGTCTTTATAAATATTATCTTTTTCTACAGGTTAACTCTGAGAAATGATGTGGTCGCAGAAATTGTCTGACAGCCATGACTGGGTTCTCCTGCTTGCGTGGCATGGTACAGAGTCCTGTTGCCAGACATAGGATCTTCCCACCCTCTTGATCCAGAGCAGCACTATCTCCTCAAAGTACTTGATGTAGGCCCCCGTGTTGAGTCTGAGGCCCTCACCAACAAATTCCGGAGTTCTTTTCTTATCAGAACAATCAGAGTGATTTTTCCGAGTCGTCGTAACTTCGTAATCACCATTAGACACATCCAAGTTTTTCCGAATCCTCTGCACTGTCCACAGATTGACACTCAAACACTCTGACATGTTCGTATTGGAGCTTCCGGCACAATTGCCAAGCAGTACAGCATGCCGTTTCCAAATTTCTGACGGAGTAAATTGCATCATGGTACTCTTTTTCTCACAGACGGTGCCCAACTGACCCTACTATACTGTGCAGTCGACAAAATCAAAAAGCAATGTGCATACGCGAAATTAAAAATATAAAATGGCGACAATTGACCCATAAAAACCCTACACATACATACATATATATATTTAAAATTTGTGTATTTAGGCAGCAATCCTTCTTTCATGCACATTTCATTGAATACGACAGACAAGGTACTTTTATTTAGTTTTTTATACAATTTCTCATGCGATCTAATATATTTTTTTTCTTTTCAGATTGTTTTTTTTTATTAATAAAGCTTCCATTATTTTTAGCCTTTTTGGATGCAGATGATGATATTATGTTAGTGTTGTCAACAAGTATGCTACGAATAGTGTCCGGTAGGTCTCTGTGAATATTTAAATGAGATCTAATTGAGCAATGACCAGAAAGGTGTATAGTGAGTCTGTGTGTCAGACATGTTGTAGTGTGGCCTATATAAATATTTACGAATTTTGATTGATCAGGAATACAATTCCTTAATGGGTATTAAAGTTCGTAAATAATAGTTGCCCTATTTAATTTTGTTCCAAGAGGTGAATTATTATTTTTAACTACAAGGTTAGAGTTTTTACATTTTTTGTAATAAATAATTAATCTAATTTTTTTGCTATTGTCAACTGGTGTTATGCATTTTTTATAATGATCTTAATTCTACTTTCGTCTTGTTTATAATTTTCGTTCATTTGATTTTTATAAAAATATTAATGTTATTGTTTATGTTTCTGTTCTCGTCGTTGCTATTACCTACCTATATATATATATATATATATATATATATATATATATATATATATATATATATATATATTGCTGATATCCCTGAAATGTGAACGAACAGGTCCGCATACGAAACCCTTGTCGGGATGCTGAAGGTAACATCAATGAAGTAAGTGACAAACTATTTACTTATCTTAATTATATATATATATATATATACATATATATATATATTATATATATATATTATTGAGACTCTCCCAGCGAATTGAGTCCTCTAGGTCACTGACGTGTTTATGAAAAAAATAAAATACGCAAAAATCCGGGCGCCGAGATGTTAGAATCTTCGACTGATGCCAAATCGGTCTGGTTGAAGCAATCGGATTTCTAGCCACACTGATGAACTGTGATACAGCGAAACAGTCTGTCTGTCGTTAATGATATCAGCTCCCGAAAAAAATTAATTCGGTCGAGCATTGTGGGGAAAAAAGAGCGAATTTGTCAACAGTGACTATTACTGCTAATAATGCAAGACTCTCCCAACGGATTGAGTCCTCTAGGTTACTGGCTTCTTTATGAAAAATAAAATACGCAAAAATTCGCAATTCTCACTGCCGGACGTCGATAGCCTGGGGTTTAGAATCTTCGATTGATGCCAAATTGGTCGCGTTTCGGTCCCGGCTTGAAGCGTTTGGTTGTTTAGCCACGCTGATGAGCTGTGATGCAGCGAAACAGTATGTCTGTAGATGAACACACACACACATATATATATATATATATATATATATATATATATATATATAGAGAGAGAGAGAGAGAGAGATTGTATACATGGACATTGTGCTACCGGAAAATTCGAGGAATTTCAAAAGATTGATCAATCTGTCCATTTCCCATAGTACACAGTGTTTTCCCTAGAGTGCTTCGCCTAAAGTTTTCCTCGTGATTCGAAATCACTCCACAAGAAAATTAATGACCTTAAGTAATACAGTAAATTGACAGAAGATGCAAGATGATTTAAGACCAATTGGAATATTGATTACTCAAATAACTAAACGAAACAATCAATGTATAAAGGTTTTAAAAGCCCGTACCCAACGGAAAATAAATTTGTTGTAAAAAGACGAAGGTCATACGTTAGCATTCTGAGAAGCCCAATAATTTTTGGAAGAACGTTCTTTGTTGGGACGAAATGAAAATTGAACTTGTTAGCCAAATCCCAGCCTGCCGTGTATGGAGAAAAGATGAATGCGTCTGTGGTCGAAAACTAGAATTAAATGAAGAGAAAAAATGAAAGAAAAGAACTGAAAGAAAATAAACGGTGGAGAAAAAACACTTAAAGAAAAAAAAAAGGTTAAATAGACGACGAAGACAATGATGGAAGAGTGTGATTTGAAAGCTAAAAAAAAAAAAGAAAAAAAACGAAACAATGAAAGCGAAAAATATAAAGAACAGAAACGAGGGAAAGGGAATGAGAGGAAAAAGAAAAATAAGATGAAAATGAATATTTTTTTATATAATTAATGATAACAAAAGGAAAGCGAAAAGGAGAAGATGTAATGTCACTAGAAATGGAATGGAAAAAATTGTATGAAAGAAAGAAATGAAAGAAAGTTACATGGACATAAAGAGAATGAAAATGTACAGAGAGAAAATGCCAATGTCAGTGGGTTGTTGAAAAGAAACAAGAGAGGCAAAACAAGCGTAAAAAGAAAGAAAAAGAAAAGGAAGAATAAAAGAAAGAAAGAAAGAAAGAAAGAAAGAAAGAAAAAGCGTAAACGCAATAAAAGTAGTTTAA